GGAAACCCATGCCCGTACTCATTTCTGGCCAGTCAGCTTTAATGTCGATCAACACTGCCTTGAATCCCAGGGCCTCCCCCCTCTCGGGTTCGCAATTCTCTCCGTGCTCAACGGGTGTCTCATATGCTCGCGCCTCTGTCTCCTTATCCTGCTCCTGCCCCTCCTGCATCCACATCGTGCCCTCCCATCTGCCGCTCCCTTTACCCCGCTCGCTGCTCGCCCCGAACGGAGCGAGGGCACATGTGCTCTACATGCGCGCGTTCCCTGTCATGTCTCACTGCGTTGCGCTGCATGATCACATGCTGACCAGCTGCCCTTGTACAGAGGACCCAGCTCTATATGTTGTAGCGTCGCTTTTTTTTGGGGGGGGGCTCCACCTCGAACCATCCCAGCCCTCCCCTCACCTCCCGTCCGATACCCCTCATCCATTACTATGGCCATGCAGTGCGAGTATATGTTGTGCACCCTCACAAGCACGCAACACATATAGATTTGGGCACTCTATAACCCGTGCACCAGCCCACCCCTGAGAACCTGACCAGCGAGTTTAGCACGCGTTTGATCGGAATCTAGCCACGGGCAATTATCGTGCCGATGTTCAGGGTAAGTTCCAGCCGCCATACATTTCAAAGACCAACTAATAAACTGATAAACTGGATACGTGCTACACCAGTGGCTACACCCGCAGTTACACATGTCCCCCGTGCGCAGGCATGCAATCATGTGCCGCCTGCCTGTTGAAAACAAATGAACAAACATCCCAAGAAACGAATCATTGTTATTGTACGGGACCTTATCCATGTACAGCGCAATGGGCACCATGGTGCGACGCTCCTCTGCCGAGGCAGACTTAACAAGAGTATGTTTTTCCCACTCGTCTATCCAAGGCTCGGAACTTACTTTGGCATTCCACTCGGGAATGATATCGGGGTGGTCGTCGAGTTCGGCTCGGATGGCCTCATGAGGCGGTGCAACGTGGAGCGACAGGGTCGTCAACTCAGGGTCATTCCGATTGTGGCCAGGCGATTCCAACATGTAGAGGTGCTCGTCGAATTGGGTAAGATGCAACGCCGCGTCAAGTTTGCGCTGGTAGTTCCTACCCTTCATCTGGGGGTCGACGGCATACTTAGATGCTTCCAGGAGGCCACCCTTAGACGCATAATGGCAAAGAGTACAGAGAGCCCTCGCTGACATCGGCGTTCCCAAAAGGTACATATCAATAATCTCATCACAGAAAGATTGTCCAGCCTCTGGGTCCCTCGGCACCGCGTTATCTTCTGACCCAGACGACGCATCATTCCAGGCTCTGGGCTGGGGCTCAGCTGGGCCCTTTCGTTTTCGACCTCGGGTCTCGGGATGGGGGTCAGGGGGCGGCGGCGCCTCCATGATGCCAAACTGATGCGAACTGGCTCGGGCCAAACACCGTATGCTACGGGCGGTGCACGGGGCCTAATATGTACTCATGCGAGCGCACGTGTCAGCATGTTTGATTGTATACTGTGGATTGGCGCTGAGGCACGCACGACAACGTCGCCGCTCTCTGACTCCAGCGAGCGATGAAGGGGAACGCAGGCAGGGCGGAGGAGGCGGTGGAGGGCGAGAGAGGTCGAGGGGGGCGACGTGGGGGAGGGGGGGCAGCGAGAAGGATGCCAAGCACAAGAAGGAGAGAGATACAGCGTTCTCAAGCGCCACCCCTGCGCGCACAAATCATTCCAGAGGGGTGGTGATGCGGCGACGGCGGCCTCCTGCCTGCCGCGGGCAGTTGCATGCGCGGGCAGGACTTATCTCACCATCCATCCTCTCTTCATCCAATCATCCTCTCCATCCCCCAGGCGTCGCTGGCTCGCCGATTCTCCTAAGCGTGACAGGTGCCGCTCTGTAAAGAAAATAAGCATTGCGCACTCAGCGTCTCAGATCCTGATTCAATTCCTGACCTACTCATTCTCTCCCCCCCCTCTCTCCCCCCTCCTCCTCCACCGCCTAGAAGACGCCGTTCGGCCGCGCTCCACCTCATCATCCACCACAGCCTCCTCCTCCTCATCCTTGTCCTCCTTATCCTCCTCCCACGCGCCGTCCTCCCTCTCCCATCACTCTCGCATTTCATCATTCTCAACCGTTCAGTTCAAAATAATTTCCAATGAAATCTCAATGAAATATACAATGAAATGCAAAATTCGCACACAATGATCTCCCAATGAACCCAATGCACCTCAGGATGCCCAAATGAAACTCCCAATGATTTCCCAATGATTCCCCAATGAACCCCAATGAAATGCGATGACATGTGGGAGTGGCTGGCAGTGCTGCCTCTGCTGAAATCTACTTTCTCTCAGGATCGACGTTCTGCGCCCACGGCAATGCGTCTCGCGAGCGGCACCTCGCATTGAAAATGTCAGCGCACAGAGGGGAGGCCTGGCCAGGACCGCATGAATCTTCGATCACTAAAGCACGAATGACCATCTGAGAGGCTGTCAGAAGGAAACCTGGCTCTTTGCGATGGCCTCGATTGGCCGCCAGAGGACCCCCAATGAATTCATCGGTGTTCATCGGGTAGTTCATCGGGTCATCGGGGTCGTTGTTGGGTGTGTTTTTGGTTGTTTTTCATATATATATATATATATATATATATATGATTTCCTATGGCTCATCGGAAAAATCATCGGATGGCGATTCATCGGGTAAATCATCGGGTAGGTTTCGGTCCTGAAATTCGATTTTCTCCGGTCAGATACCGGCCTGCAGGTGTTTCTGGAAACATTGGAGCGTCTGAGGACGGAGAGGGCGGCCCTGGGACTCGAGAGCGTCCTGAAGTTTAAGGTTCTTGGCTCAGAGGGCTCGAGTGGGCGGTCCTGGGGCTCGAGCGGGCTTTCCTGGGGCTCGAGGACGTTCCTGGAGCTCGAGAGGTTCTTTTCGGACTGGCCTTTCCCCAGGGCCATGCTTAAATCCCAGCAGAGCATCGCCGCGAAGCCTCCCCCCACTCCTGCGCTTAGAAAGAAGCAGGCGTTGTGGGCCTGCTGAGCTCAGGGATGCGACGCCGCGTGCTTCCTCTCCAGGCTGTGGTTCTCCTGGATCTTGGTAACCCAGCTCTGCAGCTTCTCCATCGGCGCTTTCATCCTGCTTCACCCGCGTGCTCAACCACGATCTCTCAAACAGTTCTTGCTCATTCAACCTCCCACATATCGACTCCCTACCTTCGCTTCCTGCCTCCACCCATCTCCGCTTCCACATCCAATTCACCTCCTCGACCCACCTCCTCCTCAGCGTGCCCACCCACCTCCTCTTCCCATATCCAGTTAACCTCTTCCACGTCATCTATTCGACATTCCTCGAATTCCTCAACCACCTCCAATCCACCTCCTCCGCGGCATCCTCGAACCACCTCCTGCTCGACCTACCCGCCCCCTCCCACATCCCTAGCATGCCGTAGCTATCTTGGGTCAGACGAACGGTGTTGGCTCGAATGCGTGCGTCATGCGCAAATCGATCCCTGCCCTCTTCCTCCTCCTCCTCCTTCTCCCCCCTCTGTCCGACGACATTGTGGTTCAAGCATGCAGTGCTATGTGCACACGCGTATACACGCGTGCCAAGAACATGCAATGCCTCACAATTGCGGCTGCTCTCCTCGTCACGATGCTTTTGAACTCCTTCTCGAGGAGGTGCTCCTTCCCCTTCCAGTCGCGCCTGATGTCGGCGGCCGTGAAGACGACCATCCTCTCGAACAACTCGCTCTTGGCGCCGTCCACGGCCGTCTGGAGCTCCTGCAGGTTCGCGAGCTCCGACTTCCGTTCTGATAGCCATTTCCACTCGGGCAGCTCCTTCTCGGCCGAGACGCGCATCGAGCCGACGCTCTGCTGCAAGGCCTTGTACTTCAACACGACCCGCTTCGCATCGCCCTCGGCCTTCGCGAGGTCCTTCCTCTGCTGCTTTGCGTGCTTCTCTTCAGCGCTCAAGGAATTCTCCTTCTCCTCGCGCTTGCGTTTCTTCTCAGCCAGCTCCACGGCCTTCTTATCCGCCTCAGTCTGGGGCTGCTCCGCAGGCTCGGCCTTGACCTGGGTGCCCGCGGCAGCTGGCGCAGCTGCGGCCGCGGCAACTGGCGCAGCCGCGGCAGCTGGCGCAGCTGCGGCAGCTGGCGCTGCCATCTGCGTCTCCTCGGCGGGGGCCTCCTCGTCTGGATCCTGGGCGACTGCCTCCATGTGTTGCGTCCACGACCTCTCCATCACGTCGCGGCGGCTGATCGTCACGTAGAAGAATTTAGCGCGGCCAGCCATCGTGTCGAAGGTGAGCCACTCGCCGCCCATCTCGATGCACGCCTGCTCTCAGAGGCCGCCCTCTCCCTCCTCCTCCTCCTCCTCCTCCTCCTCCTCCTCCTCCTCCTCCTCCTCCTCCTCCTCCTCCCCCTCCTCCTCCTCCTCTCCTCCTCCTCCTCCTCCTCCTCCTCCTCCCCTCCTCCACCTCCTCCTCCTCCTCCTCCTCCTCCTCCTCCTCCTCCCACCTCCTCCATCTCCTCCTCCATCCCATCCTCCTCATCCTCCTCCTCTCCCTCCTCCCCCGCCTCCTCCTCCTCCTTCTCCCTCCCCCTCCTCCTCCCCTCCTCTCCTCTTTATCGGGCAAGCGGCAATGGATCCTCGCAGTACCGCTTCGCTGCCATGATGTTCTCGATGTCGTGGTGGCCGCCCTCCTCCTGTGGATCGGAGCGAAATTGGGCGCGCGAGGGGCAGGAGGACGTCGCTTCCTCCCCGATGCCCCGTGCCCTCAAATGAACCCCAAGTGAGCTGGCAATGAACCCCAAAAGAGTCCACCAGAGCCCGCGGGGAGCGCGCTCTGGGAATGACGGGCGGGGGGTCTGACGACGATACCCAATGGCCCGAACATATTTTAGTGCGGAAAGCGTTCCAGGCGCGAGGCTTCCTAGCCGCCTGCAAAACAATCGACGCAAGAGGAAGAGGAGGAGGAGAAGGGGGAACAGGAGGGGGGAGGAAGTAGCAAGAAGAGGAAGAGGATTACCACCCGACGTCCTTGACGATCCTGGAGAAGCTGTAGTACGTGCCCGCCGACTCGTCCACAATCTTGCAGGCGTGCTTGTGGATGTGCTTCCTTTTGAGCTCTGCCAACGTTGTAGCTGCCCACTTCAGCCTGTAGTTCCTCCGTTCTTCAACCTGCATGGCGGCCCAGTCTTCCCTGAACTGCTTATCCTTCTTGCACTTGGCCGCGACGTGCCTCTCGCTCTGTTGATGCACATTCGAGCGCGACCTGATGCCGTGCTCCACCGCCTCCTGCAATTGATCAATCCTCAGTTTGACTGCCTGCGGAAGGTTCTTCTCAGCGTTGCCAACCTCCGCGGAGCTCTTGCGCCTCCCCGCCTCGTTCATGTAGCAATTGATGCCATCCAGACCAAGTGGCAACTCGCACTCGCGCTCCCCTGGCTGGAACGAAGGTGGAGCGCATGGCGCCTTGGGGGCCGCGGGCACCTCAGCTGTCTCTGCCTCCAAGGTCTCTTTTGGCGGCGGCGGCGATGGCAAAGGGCCCACGGCGCCACCAGTGGCCGACGGGTGCATGGCGGCGCTGGCGGCCCGCCAACGCGGGGGCGCGCTCACGTCGGGCGGCGGTGCCCCTGCTGCCTTGCTGCGGAGGTACTGCTCGGGGATGGTTCCTGGAACGGTCGCAGGCTCCGAGTCCAGCGAGTCGCCGACGTCGATCGTCGTGTCCTGAAGCCCGTTGATGCCGATGTCCTCACCGATCGTCTCCTGGCCATCCTCAGGCTCGCTGGGCGCCACGTCCATGGGCCTGCGCATCTCCGCCGCAAGGTCACTGTCAGCTCCGCGATTGTCATCCTCCGCGTCGCTGCGCTCTGAGGCCGTCGGCGAGCGAGCGATGATTGTAGCTGCAGCCGCCGCCTCAGCTGCATCGCCAGTCAGGCGCTCAGCAGTATCCGCCAGGTACTCATTGTGAGCATGGATCTCAGGTACCCTCGACGAGTCCTCGGTAGACAGCATGACGTCCTGACGGACGTTCAGAGTGTGCTGTGCATGCGCATGTATGCAAGAAACAAACTCTGTCCTCTCCCCTCTCCCCCACCCTCACCTCTCCCTCCCCCCGCTCTCCCCTCTCCCTGCGCATCCGCGTTCACGCAATCCGCTCAGGTCTCATTGTGAGCATGGATCTCAGGTACCCTCGACGAGTCCTCGGTAGACAGCATGACGTCCTGACGGACGTTCAGAGTGTGCTGTGCATGCGCATGTATGCAAGAAACAAACTCTGTCCTCTCCCCTCTCCCCCACCCTCACCTCTCCCTCCCCCCGCTCTCCCCTCTCCCTGCGCCCATCTCCCTCCACCTCCGTCACCAATCATCATTCCCCTCAATCGTTCTACGCATTCTCGTTATCATGTTCGCTCTATCTCTGTGTTTCTCTCTCTCTCTCTCTCTCGCTCTCTCTCTCTCTCTCTCTCTCTCTCTCTCTCTCTCCTCTCTCTTTCTCTCTCTCTCTCTCTCGCTCTCTCTCTCTCTCTCTCTCTCTCTCTCTCTCTCTCTCTCTTTCCCTCTATCTTCCTTCGCACTTTCCGAGCGACAGGGGCTGTAAAACCGACGTGCGTTCACGAGCAGTCCTTGCCGCAGTTGCCGCAGTGAGATACGTCCAGGGGGTTGTCCTCGCCACAGAACATGTTAAATGGGGGGGCGGGGGGGGGGGGGGGGGGGGGGGGATCGGCATGAGGTTCCCCCGTCTCGCTCCTGGACGGTGTCGGCGGGCCCCCCTGTGAGGTCCACGGGTAGTTCTGGAGCAGCGTAACCCGAACTTGAAGCGCCCGAATCTAATTGACGGCGGTCGGCCTCCGATTCCTCGAACATTTGCTCGATCACAGTCGCGTCGATCTCGTCGTGGATGTAATCTTTCTCGTTGAAAACGGCATCCTGCTGTTGCTGCTCCTGCTGCTGATACTTCGGGGCCTTCGAAGGCCTAACGATGACGATCCCGTTCGCCGAAGAGTCCGAGAGCCGCCCGTATGCCCCGCAGAAAGGCATGAACCCGTCTGGCTGGTCACTGCCCATGGCGATGGCGGCCCTGCCTTCTGAAGGTTCAGCGCTCGAATCCCCCTCAGGTTTCTTGAGCCCCAAACGCATGCGCACGGCCAACGACATTACTATGTGGCATGGAAGGAAACAGCAAAGCTGATGCGACGCATCCTCAGATCGATGTTCGTGGCAACGACTCCCGCCTGAGCGGTCATCGCATTTCTCATCTTAGTGGGGTCGTGCTGGGCTCGGGGGTGGGTTGCGCAAGCTCTGTTTAATATATGGCTCCTTCCATGCCAGATAGTAGGCGACGGGTAAGAGGCAGCGATTATCTGCGCGCCAGCCTGGAGAAAGGCGAAGACAACGCCCGTTCCGTGAAGCGCGAAGCGCTCTGATCTTCGCGCTTGGACATGGGTCAGGCGTAGTCGGAGGCAGAGGACAGGGGCGGAGAGGGGCGGGGCAGAGCAGGGAGACAGGGAGAGGACGAGGAAGAGGAGGTGGTGAGGAGAGAAAGAGAGAGGGGAAACCAGAGATAGAGGAACCCTGTTCGACAGGGAGGCGTCGGCCACGAGCGCGTTGTAGAAATATGAAGTAGGGTTGCGCTTGCCTTGCATTGATCTGCATTGTTGCTCTGCACGACGTCTCACTACATCTTGAAGGGCGTGGCTCTAAGAGTAGGAAGGCGCGAAGGTGGACCAACACAAGAGTCTCCAAACTGATCGACGACCGACGCGACAAAGTGCATTCGTTTTTTCAAGCGGCGCGGGAGGCGGCCCGAGCTGGCCGTCGCCGCTGCGCCGCCAGTACGTCAATCTCCAACTCGGGCGGCCAGCAGGCTGTCCCTCTCCGTGTGCAACTCCTTCTGCAACAGCAACCCTGAGGATTGAGAAGGAGTGAGAGGAGGATCAGGAGGAGGAGAAGGAGGTTGAGGAAGAGGAGTTGAAGAAGTGGCAGGGGGAGGAAGGCAGTGAGAGGAGTAGGAGAAAAGAGAAAGGGAGGAGGAGCACAAGGAGGAGATGGAGGAGTAGCGGTGGCATAGGAGGAGCAAGGGTGAGCAAAGAGGAATTCGGTGAGCAAGGATGAGCAAGGACGCAGGGGCAGGAGCTGAAGGAGGAGAGGGAGAAGTGGGAGCGATGCTAGGAGTTTGAGGGGACAGTAGCGCCTTTGGAATACTTGTCCGCGATCTGGATCATGATGTTGACGGCGTCCTCCTCGCTAATGCTGTCGGTGATCGTGATCTGGCACACCTGCTTGCCCCTGCCAGGGCCCTGCTCCATGACCGCGATCGTGCTCCGCCCCTAGGCGCGGCGAGTGCTTTTCACGAGGTTTTGCAGAGGAGTGAACAATGACCCCTAAGGATTTTAGCAGAAGGCACCAGGGGACTGATTTCCAGAAGACCACCAATGGAGCCGAAACTGGGGCGCCCCAGCGACGATGCCGGACCAGCCCAATGAGTCTCACAATGATTCCCAATGAGTCGCCAATGAACCCCAATGAGCAAGCGGGACCAGGCCAAAGGAAACACTGACATTGGTGCGAGCAGGAAAAGGGCGAGGAAGGCAAGGGGGACAAGGATGAGAGGAAGAGGAGGATATATATATATATATATATATATATGTAAGGAGCGAAACAGGTGGAGGCGGTGCAGGGCGAGCGGAGAGAGAGGCAGCAAAAGAAACAAGTTTCCTTCTGTTTGAGCGGCGTCACCTTGAGCTCCTCGTTGGCTGGTGAAAGACCCGTCCACGCTGTCGCCCTCCTGGAGTTGGCCTTGATGTCCGACTTGGCCTGCCCCGCCCATTTCGCGGTTCTCGTCCTCCTCCTCCCCCTCCTCCTCCTTCTCCTCCTCGTGCTCGTCCTCCAACGGCCCCGCGTGTACTCCTCCTCCTCCTCCTCCTCCTCCTTCTCCTCCTCCTTCTTCTCCCCCTCATCGTTTTACATCGTATTCCAATTCCCCCTCCTCCTCGTGTCCTCATCCCTCTCCCGCTCCTGCGCCATCCACCTCCATCTCCTGGTCCGTCCCCGCATCTCTCCTATCATTTTCTGCGCTCGCCCGCATCATTTCCCATCCCTCGTGGTCTCTCTCTCTCCCCGCCCCTCCTTCAAGAGCTCGGGCAAGTCTGTCGCTGCCAATGAATCAACTAAGAACTTGCCACAGCTAAAGATGGCGTACACCTGGTTGCTTGACTCATCTGGCTCGAAAGCATCCGAAAATTCTGGGGGCCCGTACTTTTTGCGCCCAATTTTCTTTCTCAACGCTGCTTGGCCCCTTTCTTGCTCCCAGCTGACTGTGTATTCGATGGCGAGCTCTGGCGAAACTTCTGGCGGCGATGCTGCGCTCTCTGGCGGCGCTGGCGATGCCTTGCTCGGCGGCGGTGGCGATGCCGTTGGCGATGCCGTTGGCGATGCCTTGCTCGGTGCCTTGCTCGATGCCTTGCTCTCTGGCGGCGATGGCGATGCCGTTGGCGATGCCTTGCTCGATGCCTTGCTCTCTGGCGGCGGTGGCGATGCCTTGCTCGATGCCGTGCTCTCTGGCGGCGGTGGCCGCGCCTTGCTCGGTGCCTTGCTCTCTGGCGGCGGCTGCGATGGCAGCGCCCTTCTGAACAAGAAGGTCTCGGGAATATCCATCATCATCGCAGCAGCTGACCTTTTGCTCGGTGTCTTGCTCTCTGGCGGCGGTGCCTTGCTCTCTGGCGGCGATGCCTTGCTCTCTGGCGGCGATGCCTTGCTCTCTGGCGGCGATGCCGTGCTCTCTGGCGGCGGCGCCGATGCCTTGCACGCAGTCGGCGGCGACGCAGCTGCTGGCCTTTTTGATGCTTGCTTCTTGAGCGCAGGCCGTTCGTCGTGGTCGAATGCAGCTGGCCGCTTCCTCGCCTCGTCGTCGCCGCCAGATGGCTCTGAGCAACTGCCGCCGTCGCTGTGATCCTCATCCTCCTCTCCACCGCCCTGATCTTGCGTCTCGCCGAAGAGGTCGTGGTACCACTTCAGATTCTTGCGTCCTCTGGGCGCACGCTGGAGAAGGGGCGAGGAGGATTGGAGGAGAAGGAAGGGGAGGAGGCGGACGAGGAGGGGGAGGCGGACGAGGAGGAGGAGGAGGAGGAGGAGGAGAAGGCGCAGGAGATGGAGGAGGAGGAGGAGGAGGAGGAGGAGGATAATCAGAAGGAGGAGGAGTGGAGGAGGAGGGTGAGGGGGAAGAGGAGGAAGAGGAGGAGGAGGGGGGGGGGGAGGCGGAAGAGGGGGAGGGGGGGGGAAGAGGGAGAGGAGGTCGAAGAGGTAGGAGAGATGGAGGAAATTCGAGGAGAGAGCGAGTTAAGGTTAAGAAGAAGGATAAATAGTTAGAAGGGGTAGTAGAAGGGAGGAGTAGGCGAGGAAGGAGAGGAGGAAAGAAAGAACGAAACGGAGGAATTTTGCATGAGAAAAGAAAGAAGAGGGTGTCTGTTCTGCTATCTCGGAACCCGTGCGCCACCCCCACGCACAGCCCGTTCAGCCGACGATTAACGAGTAGATCTTAGTGAACTTGTCACGGTTCTGCCCGCGCCCGAGGAAGAGGGGGAGGAGGAGGAGACGAGGAGGGGATGATGGGGAGATGAGGAGGAGGAGGAGGAGGAGGAGGGAAGGAGAAGCCTCCCTCCTTCTCTCGAATGTCACGGCTCATGTATTTCTTGGAGGGGCCACCAGGCCTTGCCAATGAACCCCAATGAATATCGACCGGCTCCCCAATGAAACCTAAATGATTTTCCGATGAAATCAAATGCAAATCATGAAAACAAACAACTCCTAGTCTCCCTCTGGCCCCTGCCCCCGCCTTATCCGACATCTGGAAGTTCTTCATGTCGTGAACAAGCTTGAGAGCCTCGCGCATAGTTGATTTCTTGATTCTGCTATCCTGGAGGATCTGCAGGAGGGCGGTGATCATTGGCATGTTCTGCCCATGCCCGTTTATGTGGCATTCCTCACGATTCCCGTCTCTTTATCCTCACGCTCTCGTCCGCATCCTCCTGGGCCTCCTCCTCATCCTCTTATTATGCTCTTCCTCGTCCACGTCCTCCTGATCCTCATCCTCCTCATCCTCATCCTCCTCGCGCCTCCTCGCCAACGCTCCGTTATTTCGTCATCTTCCTGCGACCCCCATCCCCTCATGTCTACTTCTCCCCATCCCCTCCTTCTTCAGCACTGCTCTGTCTGGAGGGCTCTTCCGAGCATTGGATGGGTAGAGGAAGAAGTCGGGGGCCGTGCTGATGTGCGGCATGAGCGCCTGCGAAGGGAGGGTCAAGGCGGGTGCATCCTCCTCCCCCTCCTCCTCCTCCTCCTCCTCCTCCTTCTCCTCCTCCTCCTCCGTCTCCTCGCCCTCATCGCTCCCCCTCCTCCTCCTCCTCCTCCTCCTCCTCCTCCTCCTCATCTTCCTCCCCTCCGCCTTCCGCTCCTCCCCCTCCCCTCCCTCATATTCCTCCTCCTCCTCTCCTTCTCCTCTTACCTCTTCCCTCCCCCTCCGCCTCCCTCCCTCCTCATTTTTTTTTTTTTTTTTTTTTTTTTTTTTTTTTTTTTTTTTTTCTTTTTTTTTTATTCGTCCTCGTCCTCCTCCCTCTCCTCCTCCTCCTCCTCCTCCTCCTCCTCCTCCTCCTCCTCCTCCTTCTCCTCGCCCCTCTCCTCCTCGTTCTCCTCCCATCCTCCTGTTCCTCCCCCTGCTTTTCCACCTCCTCCTTTTCCCCTCCTCGTCTCCCGCGGCGCCTTGGCCACAGAGGCCGCAGACGCCTCCTCCTCCCCCCCGTCGCCCTCTGAGTCCTCCCCGTCGCCCTCTGAGTCCACGGGCTCCGCCATCGCGCGCGCTCTGCGGGCTGGCGCAAACAACCCTGGAGAAAAAGGGGTGAGGAACCCAAGGAGGAGGAGGAGGAAAAGGAGGAGGAGGAGGAGGAGGAGGAGGAGGAGGAGGAGGAGGAGGAGGAGGAGGAGGGGGGGAGGAGGAGGAGGAGGAGGAGGAGGAGGAGGAGGAGGAGGAGGAGGAGGAGGAGGAGGAGGAGGAGGCGGAGGAGGAGGAGGAGGCGGAGGAGGAGGAGGAGGAGAAGGAGGAGGAGGAGGGGGAGGCGGGGCCAGGATGGAGAAACAGGAGAGGGCGGGGCGAACGAAGAAGGAATGAGTGAGGGAAATCCAGGGCCGTTGGTGCCACGCGTTCGCGGCTGGGCCCTGCGCGCCTTGAACCTGGGCCGATGCAGCGCGCGGCCTCGCGCGCTCTCTTGCAAGGGTATGTCAACATCCATGCTGTTTTTCGTTTTTCTCCAGGGGTGGACCCGCGGCGATTTAGCCGACAGGCCCAATCAGGGCATGCGGCAACAAGCCCCGCACGGGCCCGCAAACATGCAACAACAAATGTAACTACAGAAACGAACTGCAATTTGACATGTGACATACCCCTGCACTGCATGCGCACAAGCAATGTAACAACGTTGGATGTGCATGCGCGCATAAGATGTACAGTGCACAGTATAATTTATGTAACGATACAAATATGTATGCCTATAGTTCTATCATATGCACATTGGGCGTGTCACAAATTACATATATGTTACATGATATATGCATAATATTACACGTTAAACGTAATACACTGTACGTCGTCAGTGGTGGATAAGTTTATGACTTTTCCGCATTTCCGTTGTTATTTTGTTTTGTTATTCGAATTCCGCAATTCCGTTGTTTTTTGTTCATGTTCGATTGAATTCCGCAGTTTTCCTTTGTTTCCGTTGATTACTTTTTCCTTGTTGAAGCAACATCTATTCCGCACATTTTCCGCGGAAAAGAAGCTCTGGGAGGGCAACTCGAATTCCGGCCAGCCGACGATCCCCGGAAAGTGTGTTCGCGCCGCCGTGTGGCTGTCCACCGGAACTCCTGACGAGGGCCGATACAGGCCCCGCGCGCGATCGACGGAGCTCAGCGGGGCAGACACACAATGGGTCCGCAAACGATTCGTCCTGAGGATGCTCCGGCCATGTGCGCAGTATACCCGTCGGCCGTGAGGGCAGCCGACGTTGGTAGTCCCCAAACGTGGTGGTGACAACACCTGGCGGTGAGTCTTGGGCGATTTGGTGTCACCACCCGGTTTGGGGACTCGTGCGGTTTTCCGAGGATGTCCCGAACACTGGTGGGTCCAGGAGTCACAGAACCCGGTGGTGACCCCGCGTCCCCAAACCCAGCGGTGACCTTTTTGGGGGTTCCAGGTCGCCACCTGGTATCTCACCACCCGGTTTGGGGGTTCCCAACGACGGGCGGGGAGCCGAGCCAGTGCAGCCCCACAGCCCCGACGGGACCCTCTTAGCCCCGAGGCCCCGTCCGACAGCCGCCGATGTGATCTGCTCCGCCGGCGGCCCCCAGCACGGCGCGGGGCGGCACGGAACACCGAGCACGAGCCGCGCGCGCGCGGCTGCGTGCCCCAGGGGCTCCGCGGAAGTGGAGCAGCCAATCGTGGCAGCGATCGCCCCCGGGCTCCGTGCCCGTCCGACCCGAAGTCTTGCACTTGAGGGGCCCAACGTTCGGGCCGGGGCAAATTCTCCTAACCCTTCGCCCCGCCGTGGCCGCCAGGAGCGCAGCTCCTCAACCCAACCCGGCATGGTTAGTCGCTGCATCAATGAGCGTACTTCGCCAATGACGCCTTGTACGGCCGGACCTGGGACAGAAGGACATCCTTCTAGAACATGAAGCCCTCCGCTGGCCAAAACACCCCAAACCATCAGATCACTCGAGGGCATCCTCCCCCAGGATGCACACGCACATCCAGCAAACACACAATTAACATTACGGCACCCTCCCCGCACCGACCTCGATCTGAAACCCCAGTCCGACCCAACCCACTGCACCCGCATGCCTCTTGCAAGCCACATGGGGAGCCTCGGGGCCATCTTGGACAGTCCCTGGCCCACCGATCGCACTTCGATCGCCCGCGGTTGGAACTCCCGACCAGCAGGAAGGGGCGATGGAAAAACGGGGAGGCAGGAGGCAGCACGGGGAGGAGGAGGAGGAGGAGGAGGAGGAGGCGGAGGAGGAGGAGGGGGAGGAGGAGGAGGAGGAGGAGGAAGCAGGAGCAGGAGGAGCAGGAGGAGGAGGAGCAGGAGGAGGAGGCGGAGGAGGAGGAGGAGGAGGAGGAGGAGAAGGCAGGAGGGAGGACGGGGAAAAACGCGCCGAACAGACGCGGACCAGGAGGGGGGGGAGGGGAGAGCAGCAGGGGCCGCCGGCCACAGAGGGGCTCCCCAACGCCCAGCCGCGGGGGCAGCCCTTCCGTCCACTCGGGCCTGTCCCCCTACAGGGGGATTTTGGACGAATACTAAAAAATAGCCAAACAATGCCCCAAAAATACCCCACAATTAGTAAAAAATCGTCCCCTGACTATTTTGTTACTATTTTTGAATACTCCCCCTGTAGAGGGACAGGCCAGACTTGACCCTTCCGTCCCCGATCCCCTTCGAAATCAACGGGCCCGCGAAACCTGCGCACGGCCGCGGTGGCCGTGATGGAGGAGGCACGCCGCGGCTGCCGTCGCTCGACGCACGGGCCCCGATCCTCGCGAGCCTCAAGAGGATTTGAAGGGGGGGGCACTCAACTAGAGGCCCTCAGGCTGGGTTTATGCTGCTCCTATCGTACTTAAGGACCACATCCCAGAAATAGTTTCGAGCACCCAGAAGAGTGTCGAAAGAGTGTCGAAACAGTGTCGGACGAGTGTCTCCCAGGGCCCGGCACGTGAAAACCTTCGAGTTCCGGTACTTTTTCTGGCGCTCGAAATTCTTTCTGATGATCAAGGCTAAAGTAAGTTGGCACATCATAAGGCTGGATCCGAGTAGATGGTGTCGGAAGATCTCGCCGCATCGCCTTTACATCGGCGATGCACTGGCGACGTCGGCGATGCATCGGCGACGTCGGCGTGAAGAAAATTGGGCCCCCCGCTGAGCCGCATCGCCGATGCGTCGCCGATACATCGGCGATGCGGCACGATCCTCCGACCCTATCTGCTCCGACTCCATCCAGGAGGGCTAGATCAAAGGGGGTTTCGGGTCGGGCGAAAGGGGGGGATAGCGAAGGGCGGGTTTGAGAATCAGCTCACGTAGCTGATTTTCCTGGCGCCTCCTCGCGCCGGGGGCGGCTATGTCTCGAGGAATGGGCCCCTCGGCGAGGCCGAAACCAGCTGCATGCAGCAAATCTCGTAACCCCCCCCTTTCCCAATCCCCCCCTTTCGTCCAGCCCGAGGGTTGCGATCAAGGGTCTTGCAGACATGTGGCGCGAAGGGGCCCCAGCTGGCCCCTAGAACTGCCGCAGCGGACCCAAGAGGAGCCAGGAACCTCGCACCGGAGGCCTTCTGCGAGTCCTGTGCAAAGTGAACTGGATATGCTGTTGGGCACTGTACCCATTCTTCGCAGAAGGCATCTGTACACCACCACCGTGCCAAGGCAGGGCCATCCTGGGCCCCAGGATGGTGTATATGCCCTCCTTGCCGAGGCCAAGAAGGTCTATACACCATCCTGGGGCCCAGAATGGCCCTGGCCCTGGGCACGGTGGTGGTGTATAGCTGCCTTCGTCGGACATTCTTTCCGTGCCCATGTCGTTCGTGCATGGGGTCGGGCTCTGGGCCCCCGGGGCTCTTTCCTGGGGGCCGGTTCTCCGGCCGTATCGCGTCGTCCAAACCCGCGGCGGGCCCCAGGATTTCCCTCTACAGGGGGGATGTATATATATATATATATATATATATACATACACATATACATAATATATATATATATATATATATATATATATATATATATATATATATATTCAGCAATGGTCCAACAAAAGTGGGGCGATTTGTTGAGCATGATTTGACAATGTTTGGATTTGTTTTAACCCTTTGTCGCTCAAGATCCCCCTGTAGGGGGGCATGCCCGACCTAACCCCAGGAGCCCGGAGCCGGCGGAAAGCCTCAGGACCAGATCTTCCCGAGAGCAGAACGCCCACCTTCTTCTTTCGGGAGAAGGGGCTCAGTGGGCCCTGGAAGCGGCGACAAAGCCGTTTTTTCACCAGTTCCGTCTTGCCGTTTTTGTTGCCGGTTCCCACGCTGTTTTTCACCTGTGCCGTCGCCGTTGTTGTTAATAACGGCTCGGGTTCCGGCTCGAAGACCTTTTTTGCCGCCGTTTTTTTGCTGCTTCCATTTTCTTGGAACTTTTTGTTTCAGAAGCGGTGAGAAAACTGCCCTGCCGCTTCCGAGGCCCACCAAGGGGGGCAACAGAAAGGAGCTGATGGGCCCGCTTTCCACCACCACCGCCATAGGCTGGAGGGGTAGGGGGTCCTCCTCCTCCTCCTCCTCCTCCTCCTCCTCCTCCTCCTCCTCCTCCTCCTCCTCCTCGGTCGACGCATCCATCACCTGCGCGCGGCCAAGGCGCGGGCGATGCGCGCGTCCACCACGAAGAAGTCGATGATGCGGCCCCCGCCCCTGCCCTGGCAAGTGACCGCCGCAGGCGCGAAGACGCCGCCCCCGACGTCGCCGCAGCAGCCGCCCGCCTGCAACGAGTCAGGCGTGTTGTTGAAGTCCGCCTGCAGGACCCACGGAATGTCGAGGGCCCTGACCAGCTCTCCGATGGCCTCGAGGATAAAGAGGTTGCGGATGGTCCGCCCCTCGTTGACCCAGAAGTAGGCGGTGACCAGCATGAGGCCACCCGTCAGGAACCCTGCAGCCCAGGCCGCTGCCACGCGCCCTGGCGAGCCTGGAGGTGAGAAGCCGTAGGTCGTGACCCCGTCCGATAGGTGAGGCCCAGGCAGCGGGGCGCCACGAAGCCCACCCTCGCAGTGCGACTGCCTCCAGGGCCCGTCGCCGAGTCGGTGAGCCCTGCCGTGAGGTGCCTGCTGAAGCAAGCGGCACTGACCTCGCCCACGTGGTCGTGCGAGAGCTTGTGCTCCTGGATGAACAAGATGGTGTTCCGCCCCAGCGGCGCCTCATCGATGTGGTCCACGATGGAGGTCCACGCGTTTCCATTCAGGCCTCGGAGCTGCATGCCAGGCTTGTACCTGGCCCCCTTGCCCCGCGCCGATGACGCCGTAGAGATCGAAGACGCCCCGCGCCCTCCAGGGGAATGCACATCCCTGGCCACGGGTGCTGTACACGCAATATGTGGAGGCTGAGAGCTCGAAGACGCCCCGCGCCCTGCAGGGGAATGCACATCCCTGGCCAAAGGTGCTGTACACGCGGTAGCTGGAGGCTGCGAAGGCGCCTCCGCAGCGTCAGCAGCACTCGACGGATACACGGTCAAACTGGCCGAGGCCGATGGCGTCGACCAGGGAGTGGATGCGCATGGGCCGTCGCCCTCTTCGGCGGCCTCTGCGGGCTCCGAGGGGCGGCGATTGGCGGGCGGTGGCGACGAGCCGGCATGATGGATGCCACGCCCGCTGCCCAATATCTCCGTCTCGCGCATGACCTCGGCGTGACGAGCGAGCTCCCCGTCCCGCTCGCGAGGAAGTCCTGCTGAAGAGAGCGAAGCCACTCGCAATGCCGTCGCCGTGCAGCTCGTCGCTGCCGGAACGCGCGGATGCCGATCTCGATCGCCAGGACGACTAGGGCCGTGGCGCGGTCGCCGCCGCCGCCTTTCTCGGGCCGCTCGTCAACCAGGGGCCGAAACGCAGGATGAGCGAGACAGGTGGAGAAGTAGGGCACGCAGTGCCTCTTCCAGCGCACAGGGCCCATCTCGTCGTCTAAAGTGCGCGGGCCCTCTAGCCAGTGGCCTTTGTAGCTTCCCAGCGCCCTCTCCAATGCCCACTTGCGCTGCAGCGCCTCGCGCCGTTCAGAATCCTGGTCCTTGGTCATGGCTGCGGCCCCAAGTCTGGCGAGGGAGGAGCGGCGTCGCGCTCCCAAGGCGGCAGCAGACTCTAGCGTAGCCGATGTGCCGCGAGCTGCGCCGCGCCGCGGGAACCGCCCTCCACCTGGTAGCCCTGCTCGCCGCTGGGGAGGTCGACCACGTTGCCCTCGACCACTGCGACGACCTCGGAACGCCTGGCCCGCGAAAGTCCCGAGGCCGACGATGCCGTCGTAGACGGCGTCGACGCAGGCGGCCCCGCGGCGCGGCGCCCGCGACCTCGCCGAAGACTGCGGCGAGCAAGACGCTTCACAGCGAGACCGCCACCGTGCCAGGGAGAGAGCTCCTACCCGAGGGAGGTGCCTGGGCTCAGTGGGGCCTGGGAGGGCTCAGGCCTTGGCAGGCAAGCCCCCTGGGGGCCCAGCCACTCGCTCAAGGATCCTGGCCCCGGCACCCGCGTCCAAGGGAGGCCTCGCTGAAGGCTGTGCCCTCCCCCCTGCGGCGGAGCCGCTTGCGCCTGACCCAGGAGGGCCCCCAGCGCCATCACGAGCCTGGCCAGGCGCGCCAGGCGTGGGGCGGGGCCGCCTTGCCCTGGGTTGGAGCTGCCGCTGCCCCTCCTCCTATGCCCTTGGCCGCCGCCACCTCCGCGCTGTGCTCGTCGGGCGCGGCGGAGCGGGGGCTCTTGGACTTGAGGCGGTCGTGCATATCCTTGAGGTCCGCGCGCATGGTATTGATGGATTCGGCGGCGGGGCCGAAGTGCTTCTGAACCTCTGACTGCAGCTGGCCCACGAAGGAGGTCACCTGCTGCTCGAGCTGCTTCGTCTCCTCCTCGGAGATGTCGAGCCCTTGGAGGTCGAACGTCGCCCCCGCTTGGACCTCCATGACCTCCACCTCCTCGGAGAGCAGCTTGGAGAGGTCGAGGGCCGCCCCCTGCTTGGCCGCGGGCGGCTCCGCGGCCTCAGCAAGCGCCGCCGCGGCCTGGCCTGCTGGGGCCGCCTTGGCGTAGGCCGCCTCGGCCTCGGCGTCGGCCTCGGCGACCTCGAGGATGGCCTCCTCCAGCTCGCGCCGATTGCACTCCAGCCAGTCCTCAGCGTCCATGACCGCCTGGTGGGAGCGCTTGAGGGCCGCCTCGGCGTGCCGCGCCCGCGCCCGTGTCTGGTAGAGCGCCACATCGGGGTGTTGCTCGGGCGGGGGCGGCACCAGCGCGAGGGCCAGCTGGTCGACCTGGGCGACGGTGGCCCGATCAGCGTCCGCTGGAAGGGTGGCCCGCAGCTGCCGCAATAGCACCTCCCGCGTGGGCAGCGCGTCCTTGGCACCCTTGCCACGCGGACGGCTGCGGGCGCGCTTGCTGGCTCCGCCTGGGCCCCAGGCCCCCGAAGGCGGGCGCTCCTGCGACCGAGCTGGCTGCAAGGCCCGTCCGCAGCTGTGGCAAGCCGTGTTCTTTCTCCAGTTCCACTTGTAGCCACACGCGCGGCACTTGGCGTATTGCTGCTTCTGGCCTCCAGACTGCTCACCCTTGTTTCCATTGCCACCCATGCGCAATGCCAAAAGACTGAGAGCCTGCCCCGCCAGGAGCGAACGATGAAAGCGTCCACGACCGCACGAGGTGAAGCCAAGACGCCTGCTGTGGGGCAGCCCGCCTCGAGCCAGCCCCTCGGCTGCAGGCAAGTACGAAGCCACAGGGCCACGGTTTCGTACTTGAGCCAAAATGGCCATGGGGAGGAGGAGGAGAGGGAGAAGGAGGAGGAGGAGGAGGAGGAGGAGAGGAGGAGGAGGAGGGGGGGAGGAGGAGGAAGGGGAGGAGGAGGAAGAGGAGGAGGAGAGGAGAGGATGGATGAGGAGTCGACGCCGGGGCATGGCGAAAGGGCGCGGGCAGGGGCGGGGCGGAGCGCCGAGGTGGTGCACCCCCACGGGCCCGACCGGCACCTCGCCCCCGCGCTGCTGCAGCACCTCTCCGCCGGGGCGGGGTGGGGCGCCGCTCGCTCTCCTCCTCCTCCTCCTCCTCCTCCTCCTCCTCCTCCTGCTCCTCTGTATCCTCACTCTATCTCCTCTTTATCCTCCTACTCCTTTCCTCCTCCTGCTCCTCCTCCCCTCCTCCTCCTCCTCCTCCTCCTCCGCGTATCATCCCTCCTCCTCACATCCTCCTCCTTCCTCCCTCTCCTCCTCCCCTCCTCCTCATCCTCCTCTCCTCCTTCCTCCCTCCTCTCCTCCGCCTCCTTCTCGGGCTTTCAACTCCGCATGATCTGGATAAGAGGTTACGCGAATCTTTCTCCTCCTTTCCTCCCCTTCCTCTTCCTCCTCCTCCTACCTCCTCTTCCTCCTCCTCCTCCTCCTCCTCCTCCTCCTCCTTCATCCTCTCCTCTCCTCCATCTCTCCTCTCCTCACTCCCTCATTCCCTACTCCTCTCCTCCTCATCCTGGCCTCCCCCCGTGGGCACCTCCTCCTCCTCCTCCTCCTTCTTCCCTTCCTCCTCCTCCCGAGTCGTCGAGCTGCATCTCGGGTAGAGGCCCGGGGAATGAGGAGGAGCGGAGGGGAGCGGGGCGGCCGGGGGGTTGGGCCCTGTGCAGGGGTGGCCGCGCATCACACGCGCGCTGGGAGCTCGTCGCCCCTCTCCTCCTCCTCCACCTCCAACCAACCTCCTCCTCCCCGCCCTACATCCTCGCTCTCTCCCTCCCTATCTTCACCAATCTTCCTCAATCCATCCTCATCCTCTCCGCCTCCTCTCTTTCTTCTCTGATCATGCATCCTCCTCCTTATGCTGCCTCCCCTTCGTCCTCATCCGCCTCCTCCTCCTCCTCCTCCTCCTCCTCCTCCTCCTCCCCCGCTTCCTCCTCCTGCTCCTCCTCCTCCTCCTCCTCTTTCCTCCTCCTCCTCGACGTGACTCGCTGTCGTGGACAGCTCGTTGCAGCCAGAGCTTGAGATCTGGGGGCTCTGAAGCCTCAGCAGAGGAGGCACGAGGTCGCATGTTGCGTCAGCGTGGGCGCAATGGCCGTCTGCGCTTGGGCCGACAGGCCCGTCACTTGGGCCAACAAGGCAGACAAGGCGTCCCGCGTCGTAGGGCTGCTACGGCCAAGACGCAGGGCTGAGGTCCACATTGGGCTCAGGAGGGGCTCAGGCTTCGGGAGCGCTCCTGAATCCCACCAGCCTCCCTGGGCGTCGGTGGTTTGACGAGTTGTGTCTTCTCTTTACCAAAGCTTCAAGAACATGGTTCAAGATAACCTCCGACATGTCTCCAAGACACCCCAAGACAGCCCCAAAACGGTTCCAAGTGCCCTTCGGGCGTCCTTAGGCACCCCCTCAAGAGGCCCAAACCCTTCAAACATCGACGGAAGTCCATGTAGTTTGCCTTCTAGCTGCCGCGCTTCCGATGGGTTTCTGGGGCTTCAACATGACCCCAAGATGGCCCGAGAGAGCTCAAGAGGGGCCAAGAGGGCCACAAGAATAGAGGAGGAATACACGGCATAATCAGACACTGTCGACTGTCCGCGCGGATTTCTTGGATATGCGCTGGACCCCCTCCCACGCGCGCGGAGCGCGACAGGGGCGGCGCCGGAGGCGCCGCCAGGGGGGGCCAGCGCGGATCCAAGAAATCCGCGCGGAGCGCCAACAATTTTTGTTTATGCCGCTCTTTTCTTCTTCGAAAGAGGGCCCCAAGAGCGCCGCAAGAGCGCCCCAAGAGCGCCCCGAGAAGCCCTGTTCTTGAGCCTCGGGGGGGCAGAAGGAGGAGGAGGAGGAGGA